TATTTTTTTTTACTCTTGCAGCTCAAAAGGGAACTTATGCTTTTATCAGTTAGCATTGGAACTGCATGTACTGGTTATTGCTTAGTAGTTCTATCGGTACAGGTAAAATTTTCACAGAAAAAAAGCAGCACGAGTATCAAAAACCTAGTATTGTAGATAATCTATCTGTTATAAAGGGCATGGTCTCTGCTATAATTGATCAGTAATTTCTGACATGATTTAATTGGAAAATATATTAAACATCATCGTAATTGAATCTCATACAGTTGTGATACTTAAATTCCCTTGACTTTCTATGGTCGTTAAGCTAAACTAAACAGGGTGTTAATTTCCTTTGTTATGTACATATATTGGCAGGTCTTATCGATTAAAAATTGATACACATATTGGAGAAATGTCAATATCATTTTCTCATGGAAAACTTATCTATGTATTGATTATACAGGCTGCTGTTAGTTATGCAATTGGAGTGCTTTTCAGGTTAGCTGACACACTTTTACTTACATGTTCAGCCTGTTTTTCCATTGAACTACAGGTGATCTATTTAAATGAGTTAACACCTTCTTGATGTCAGATATCCAATTATTTGACATTTGAATGACCTTAGCTTTATGATATAACTTGCTGTATGTTTTAGTTTCCTTTAGGAAGACTAAAATAGGAACCTTTTTTCACTTGCGATCATCCTGGCAATCTAACCATTTTCAATTTCAGTGCAGTTGCTTATACCTTCAACTCTTATATCAACATGCAGACAATCTTTCCAAGGAAATGGTTCCTCCTATTTTCAGGAAAAAGAAGTCTAAGAAGTATAATGAAAAACTCCACTCATTTCTTTGATTAAGTGATCATGTACTCTCTTCTTTTTTTTAAGTCAGCAGCTGCTTTTGATCTCAGGATTGGGATAAGAAGTGAGGATCTTAGGGACTCATTTGAGAGATCAATTAAGGGAAGCGGTATTGCTCTTTCATCCCCAAGGATTGTGATACCGGCTGCAATTTATGGATTGTGGATCCTGTCACACCAATATTTTGCCAATGATTTTTTTGAAATCCAGGTATATGTTCCTTGAAACCATTCCTTTAGCAGTATTTAATTGCAGACTGAAGAAAAATTCTGTAATGCTGTTGGAGATGAAAAAATTGTGGTTCGAGTCTCTGTTCATAGGGATCAGTTAGCTTAATAAATATCTTAGCATTAAACTAAAGAATCTTACAAAAATCAAATGTACTCACACTAGGTTTGGAGTTTTCAATTTTTTTGGGGTGGGAGGCTGGCTACCCATGTGGTCTCGCGATAGGAATGAAAGAAAAGGAGTGAGTTGATTCTTAATTTCTTATCATTCTGTTGTTCTCCCACAGATTGTGCCTGCCATGTTTGGGATGTTTGTATACAAAGCCGCAGCTCTCGTGCAAGTATACAGAGATAATGATGACCTGAAGCTTGTTTTCCCAGATAGCGGGGAAGGCTCAAGTGACTGAGATCTTTGCTCAAGCTTGTCAAAGGTGTACGACCCCTCCACGCTTAAACCATTTCATAGTAGAATGAGATGCTTCCCAAAGAGCTTAGTAGGCACTACAGTTTGCAATTCCTGCTCCCTTGATTTGGTCAACCCATGTTGAATTCCTTGAGAAGGTTCCCGCGGAAAAAAACCATCCCAAGGGTTACTCAGAAATGGAACTGCATGGTTTTCTGAAGTGAGTTCAAGCAAAGCTTGCTGGTTTAAGTCAAACCCCCTGCAAAGAACATGACTCGTGCAACTCCAGCGTAGGCTCTTCACTAGTGGAAGTGCTTTGCGACAGTGTTGTAATTAGATCATACAGAATAATCTAATTTCTGTCACTTCCATGAATTCTTTTAAATGGATTTGCCTAACACTTTCATTTATAAATTCAGGTCCATCTTCTGAAACTAATGTTTCCTGATTGTTGGTAAGCACTCACATCAAAGTAGGATCTACGGATAATTATCGTGATGGATCTTGTTTTTGTGGGAGTAAGGAAGCAATACACCGAAAGGCATGATGATAATTATCCTAGTTCCCCATATTTGCATACGAGTGAAACAAGTCTTCTGTCATAAATCGCCTCCAAAATTGTTGTGCTTGTGCCTCTTAACTTCATCTTCAACCTGTGGATGCATTTTTAATGGTTGTTAGTGTGGTTGAGGCCTCATGCAAGTATAAACTACACAGGAAAAAAGAAAACTGTCAATTGCCACATGAGCCTATAAAGCTAGTATTAGAGATTGTTTTGAAGGTTAGAAATATATTAAAGCGTGTTTTGCTTAAAAATATATCAAAATAATATATTTTAATTTTTTAAAATTTATTTTTAATATCTACATATCAAAATAATCTAAAATTATATAAAAAAATAATTTAAAATCAAAGAAAAAATTTGCAGCAGATGGGCAAAAGACCAATAGCTTGATGCCAGCAAGCAGCTCAGAATTGGGCGGCTCCTATGAAGACAAAGGTTGAATTGTGCTAAAAATTCGTTGCTTGAGTCCAATTCATCTATGAATGGTCCAAATTAATGGAATCCTAAATTAACATATGGATTGCATTGCAATGGAATAGGTGGGGGATGAAAATTTGAGAATTTTTTCATTCAAGAAGCTATTTTAATCAAGGCTAAAAACCTGATGTGGTTCTTCTTCGCACATCATTCTTAGTTCTTAAATCAACTTTCAAGATTTGCTAATTGATTGCTTTGCATCAAAGTTCAAGTCTCGATATTAATCAGTTATCATACTATAGTTATTAAACTCACCTCATCCGGACAATTTATTAAATTAAAAAATATATTTTCACTCATAAAATTCGGTTAAAAATTATAAACTAGAATAATATTTTTTGTTATTTTTAATTTGGTTATCAAATTTTTATTTTGTACAATTAAATTATTTTAAATTAAAAATAGCATCAAGTTGTATATTGTGTTAGGGAAGAGTTAAACTGCAAGGTAAAAGACTAGAGTGAAAATTATGGGTAATATAAATGATGGCTTTGCTAGTTGTTTGGAAAGTATATTTTTACTCCCATTATTTTCTTGATATTAAAATAATACTAACTTTTAATTTTTTATTTTTTAGTTATTTTTTTATTGAAGAAGAGAGTTGCCAACTTTCATTAAAAAGATAAAAATTTATTCATTAGTGACAACTATAACAACCTAACAGGTTAAAATTGATTCCACTAGATGAGATGAGTCCTATTGTGATTGTTTTAAACCTTAATATAGCTTTAAAAACCATATTTAAATTAGGGATTAAGTAGTTTTTTCAAATTAATTTTGTGATTTGAACCTTTTTCAGATTTGCTAGATTGATATGTTGGTTTATATGTATTCTAACGATATTTGGAAAGCCTTTTCGTGGTTGAAATGGGTTAAAAAAACTTTTTAGTAAAAAACATATAGGTCTAATTTTTCAAGAATCATAATAATGGGTGTAATTTAAGTAAATAGATGACTTATTATTTATTATAAAAAGCAACATGTTGCCTATTTGTTTTATTTAAAAAAATAAAAGTTATCTATCTATTAAAAAAAAATATAACAAGCCGAAGAATGTAGGTTTGGGCTTTAAAACCCACATGCTTAGGTTTTTCTTGTTTTTTTTAATTAATACCCTTCTATGTCATTTTTTTTATCTAGCATTTTTAAAATATTGATTATTTCTTAATTATATTAGGTGTTTTTAATTTTTCATGAGGTTCATATAATTCATCAATAGTTTATATACATATGTGTATAATCTTATATGGTATTTTTTTTCAATAAATTTTATTTTTTTATTGACTTTATTATAAATTAATTTTAATAAAAAAATTTATTAAATATAATCGAGTAAATCATCATTGCTACACTATTAAATATTTTGGTTTATATTTGTTTATTAACCTTTATAGTTTTATTTTTTTTATTATTAAATTTTTTTACTGAATTATTCTAACTTCATGATTTATAATACATGATAGACACATAATTTTATATTTAAATTTTACGTAATAATTCAGTTTTGTCCATGTTATTTTTTTAATTATATTATTAAATTAATTAAAAATTAACTTGATTATTAATTTTTTTTTAAATATATTTTTATTTTTTAAAATTAAAAAAAAGTGCGATGAAATGCAACATAGATAACATCAAAAACTAAAAATTTAATTCATGCTTAATGATTGACTAAATTATTGTGCCTGTTAATAAACTGCCACGACAATTTATTTCCAATTGCTTTGGACATGCATCATGTAATCCCCCAGTTATACATAGTTTCTCGATTGGAACCTCTAGTTACCAATTCTAATCATTTCCTCCATCTATATACAATCCCCTGTATTTTAAATTGCATTAAATAGTATATATCTTAGTCACATGTTCCCCAACCAACCCTAATTTCCCCTAGTCTTATAAGTTAAAATACCCATTTCCCCTTGCACTCAATACATCCAAGAACACATGTAAACTTATAACATAGAACTGCTTTGATCCAACTTGTCTTAATTTAAAAAACAACGAGTAGATAGTTTTGACATTGTCATTTATTTTAAAAGATAAATTAAAAAATTAATTTATCAGCTCAATTATTTTTAATAATATAATAATATTTTTATCTTATTATTTTTAATATTGGCTTGACTGAGTTTAAAACAAGTTTAATCATATCAATTAACTTAACTATATCAAATAAATTTGATTAACTTATTTAATTTAACTAAAAACCTAATCAGGATGAAGCTTTAGATAAAAAATTTTCAAGTCATATCAAAATTTAACAACAATAATTTCAAGTTAGATATTTCTTAACATTTAAGGTGGTCATCTACAATTTTTAATAAAAGGATCACATCCGAGCGATGAAATGTATATAGATGGAGAGCCAATTGATGAAACCCAAAGTTGGAGGACTATTCTAAAATATTATACATAGTGGAGGGACTGATTTGAGTTTTTCCATATCTTATCAAATTTCATTTTAAACAGAACAACGAGCAGTCAACAAGCCTCTCTCTCTCTCTCTCTCTCTACACTAATATCATCACCAACACTAAACTAAACACTACAGATACTTATATTCTTCTTCACAGATCGATCAGTCATTGAAACCCTAGATCAGATCCAATGCAATCAAATCCAGAAACTATGTTGTCGAAGAATCCGCGAGAGCGTCAAATGCTAGAATCAATCTACTCAATGATTGCTCTCGTCTTCATCCTTGTCACTTGCGTCGACCTCTGCGACGCCGCCACCGTCGTCGATGTCTACCGCTTAATCCAATACGACATATCCGGCGTTCCTTTCGGATCTCGTTTCGCCACCCTGAACCACCACGCCGGCTCCTTGCATTTCGCACCCGGCGTCGATCTTTCTCGCACTGTTCTCATCATTCCTGTTCGCGAATTGAACATCACTTTCGTTAAAGGTCAAATTGCTTCTCCAATTGATCTTAGAGCTTAATTAAATTTAGTAAAGTAATTAAATTGGTTGATTGAATGACAGAATATATCTCGCAAAGAAAGCCTCTAGGAGGATTATTGTTTTTGCTGCCGCAAATGTTTAATTTTGAAAATAGAGAAGCTGCGACGGAGAGTAAGTATCAAATTCATGAGAAGGAGCTGATGAAGACTGTTTTGGTGGAGCTTGAACGATTGCTTATTCATGCCAATATACCTGTGAGTGGAAAAAATTATGCTTAAAATCTGCGTGTTCTATAAGAATTGCTTATGCAGGAAACTGCTGGATCCGATTTTACTATTTTTGAGCTTGTTCTTGAGGTTGGTCTAATTTCTTGTTTTTAACTAAAATGAGAAGTAAAAAAAAAATAACGAATTTGGTGAGGAGATATGCTCATGCTTAGCATATTTTATCATTTTATTTGAAATGGTTTGGGTGATTCTGTTTTTGTTGTGACATTTTTTGGTGCAGTATCCGGTATATTTTGCTTTTGAGGATGATGATATTGATGCTGTGCTGGCTGATGTCAAGAGGAGTGATGTCTCTGGTCAGCCTGCTACTGCAACGACTGGCGGGTTAGTTCCTAACTTTATTATGGAAAGTGAGAATTCTAGTTAAAAGTTTTATGTCCTCAGCATAGAAAATAATACATCCAGCATGCTAAAACGAGTTTGGATAGGTACCCCACAGTTGTTGTTTCTTGCAAATTTGCATCATTTGAGCAAACTCTGGGTTTCGAATCCTGGATGTAACCTATGATGTTTTGTGAATCAGAATATCTGAGCAATAGAGAATCTATTCTGAACATAAAAGAAAGAAACAAAGAAAATGGTAAGCAGGTGAAACAGGATTTGCATGTTCACTGCAGATTTAAGCACTACAAGATGGTAATATGAGTTGAGGGGAAGTTGCTCAAATCCTAAGGTGAACTTTTCATGGAGGGAGGACAGTGGTTCAGTTTAGTTTCTTTTTGTATGATAATGATTTTTCTCAATTTCTTGAGCCAGAAATAGGTGCAAACAAGACCCATTTTGTATGAACTTATTCTTGTCATGTTTTTTTCCCCCATGCTTCATTATTTTGGATTTCTATTTTTATTTTCCCCTGCTGGTTAACCCATGATATTGATGCTCTATATAAATAAAAAACATGCAATGCCTTCCTGTATTGGTTGCTATCTGGTTTGAACGTTAAATATATCATATTTCCAACTCATGGTTGGTCATGCCCATGAAATGTGATTTTACATGTGCGTGTGTTCGTTTATGTTGAGATTGATAATATGTTTGATGGGCTCTTGCATTCATTTTTGCTTGGAAATTTTGCAGCTATAAGTTTGTTGTCTCTGCTCCAGAACCTAAGAGAATTGCATCTCCCGGCATCACAAACATTCAGGTCGACTTTCAACTCTTCTTTCCATTGGAAATGAACAGACATAATGAACTGGAATTTGTTGCATGCCATGAGCATCTCATCATTGATATATTTCACTTGCTAGAAACATGGCTACTGGGTCCCCCAGATTCTGCTGGCTAAGGGAACAATAATGCATTGGCCTCAAATGTATTGCAATCAAAATCAATGCTGATGCTGAACAAACCTGTTGTATATGATTTCAATGCAGTTTTGTAACTTATGGTGTATTTTGCTTTGATATACACATTGTTTCTCAAGAATTTATTATTCTGGTCTCTGCTCTGTTATCTTTAGCTACATTATTGCATCGCAAAAGCCCAGAAACACTTGTCAATACTAATCTAGCCTCTTTCCAAACATTATTTAATTGTATTGAGCTTAAGACATGATGAAGATATGGGTTCTGGGTTTAATACTTGTTCTGGTCTCTGCCGTGTAAGGTTTAATAGATAATTATGAATATTTCAGCACACACCATTACAGTATTTCTTTAAATATCACAGCCATCACCAATTATGTGTTGGCACCTATAGATTAACACACAACCTTTTGTTAATGGCTGTGCAAACTGTGCTCAAGCAAGACTAAAATTTGGGAACTTCAAAAGCAGAATGTAAATTCAGGTGTAAAAGCACGTTACTTGACAAACAAATTCAAATCATATGGTGGTTTCAAAGTTCTGTGTTGACAATTAGAAGTATTGTAATTCTGATTAATATAATTCACTCTATTTTCAGCACATAGAAATATTAACAGTTGTTAGACACCCTTATTAATGAATTTAGTTGCTGTTTTTATTATTCGTGTTTGTAATCTGGGAAATCTTGCTGAGGTCTCCGAGCTTCTTCTTCATGCTAGTGCTGATGATTTGTAAACTGAATGATGGTTAAATTGTGCAGGGGTGGCTGCGAGGACTGAAAGCAGATGGAGATCCAAATCAACTTCCGACTATTGCTATTGTAGCATCATATGATACTTTCGGAACTGCTCCTGTATGTATATTATATTTGATATATAAACTTTTGCAACTTGTATTCACTGTATAATGATGTGAAAGTAGTTACACGTGTAGGCATTATCTGTTGGAAGTGATAGCAATGGGAGTGGCATTGTGGCTCTTCTTGAAATAGCTAGGTTATTTTCACTTCTTTATTCTAATCCAAAGACAAGAGGACGGTATAATTTACTTTTTGGGCTAACATCTGGCGGACCTTATAACTACAATGGAACTCACAAGGTGCATAGATCTTATCATCTTTTCTATGAACTTAATTGTACAATCTACTTCTTTGCTTTGGTTTGCTTATCTTAGTATTTTTGCTTTGAAAGTGGCTTTGGAGCTTTGATCAACGTCTACGAGAGAGCATCGATTATGCTATTTGCTTAAATAGTATTGGCTCATGGGATAATGAATTGTGGATTCATGTGTCCAAGCCTCCCGAGAATGCCTTTATTAAACAAATTTTTGAAGTAAGCTGATGAGACATTAAATTGTACAGGGCTGTTATTCTGTTGTGCCAAGTAGCATTACTATGTTTTGTAGTTTGACCCATTGAGTTTTCTGTAGGGTTTCTCTACTGTAGCGGAAGAACTGGGCTTGGAAGTTGGTCTCAAGCACAAGAAAATTAATATTTCAAATCCTCGAGTAAGTCATTTTTACCAGAAAATTTGAACCTCAACATTTTTCTGGCTTACTAGTTCAAGAAAAAATATTTTTGTCAATCTTGAACAGTAAACATTGGAGAATTGTGTTGAACATTGAAATCGATGGTTTTCTTTCTCGTTATCTGTGCTGCAGCACAAGGAGAGGAGTTTTCATCATTTAACGAGATATTGGCATAGCCATAATAAAGCAAACTGTGTGTTAGATGACCAGCTGTTTATTCTTAAAATAATATTTTGATATTGTTATCGTGATGACTGACATCAGTTTACTTTGTGTATGCATCCTTTTTGGTTATTACGGATGGGGTTTTCTGTCATTTACTAGAATTTTGCTTTAATTGATTCAAACACTGTACTTTCGATGCTCTCATATAGTCCAGGTGATATAGCTGTTGACCTGCTGTAGGTAGCTTGGGAGCACGAACAGTTTTCAAAGCTGAGAGTGACGGCTGCTACCCTTTCTGAACTATCGACAGCCCCTGAACTCTTAGAAAGTACTGGAGGTCTGTCTGATAGCAGGTTGTGTTTTTCAACCTGAACTTCTTTTATAAATAAAATATTCTTGATCTTATATTTTTCTGCAATACTGATATCTAGTTTATCTGGACAGACATTTTATTAATGAAACTGCAATAGTTAGAAGCATCAAGCTAGTTGCTGAGAGCATTGCGGTAAGGTCACACACCTTAGAATAAGTTTTGACTTCATTACTCATTTGTTTTAAGACTAATTTTGTGAAGTAGCACTCACTGGAGTGAGATCAAGGCACCAGCTGTGTGCTTACCTGTTCAAATGCTGCTAACATGCATGAGATTCAGAATATTAGAATTAACTATATGATGGGGTACTGTGTCAGGATTTTCATACCAGGAACAAGTTGATTACAAATGGCTAAATTGTTGGATCATGGAACTTCTTTAGTTTTGTGTTCTCTGAGATATTTTATTTTGTCATACAGAGGCATATCTATGGTTGCCAAGGGAAGAACATTCAAATATTTGCGGACGACACCAGTTTGGCTGTTAATGCTCCTTACATAAGATCATGGTTGGATCTTTTGTCAAAAACACCTCGAGTGGTGCCATTTCTAACAAAGAATGACCCATTTGTCATGGCACTGAAAAAGGTCTATTATTTGCAAATGTTCTTGGACAATTATTATTTTGGTGGTTTTCTTTATTGTATGGTCAATGGTGCTTTTTGCTCAAATTTGTGCCAGGCCTTGTTAACTGCAGACTACTTTGTAGGATATTTACACTCTTTTATATTTTCCAAAATTGCGAATTTGAGTTGAAATATTCAAATTTCTTTCATTACAGCCAGCTTCCTTTCTGTTTGGCAACTGTTTAACTTTTATTCTATGTAGGTGTGGAAATATTGTTTTTTTCATGTGCTAATGTGAATAAACACTTAATGTATCTCTCTCTCTCTCTCTCTCTCTCTGTTTTTTCCCCCAATACAGAAAATGAAATAAAATTTAATTTTTGTTCTCTATGTTGAGGATGCTCCTTCTATAGAGTTCACACCGATGTCATTATCATTTCAAAGTACTAGTTTTATCAGATTGATTTTTTTTGCAAGCTGTTCTTGGTCACCTATATTTTTTTCCCTTTCTGATGGTCGCTTCAATGCTGACTTCTGGAATCCAATTTATCCAAAACACAGGAAGAAGCTGTATAAATGCCTCTGTCTAGTACCTAGTGCTTAAGAGATGTTTGATGATACTACTTAAAAAACTGGAAAAGAACCGTTATTTTTTCCCACTGAGAAATTTGATTTGGTGTCTTGGTTTGGGGTCTGGGGGTTTTATTAGGCTGCAGCGTAACACTGCAAAGAAAACATTAAAGTTCCTTTCTTCCAGTTTTTTTCTATTGTTTACTTTTGAGTTGATTTGTTTCTGTCCTTCTGCAGGAACTAGAAGATCATACTCATGAAGTAAATGTGCATCATGAGGTGCTTGATGGGATGTTCACACTCTATGATTCAACTAAAGCTAAACTAAATATTTATCAGGTTCTTACTTTTTATTTCTCCAGTTGGAATTATTTTTTTAACATGCCTGTCTCCCTCCCTCTGTGTCATTTTCATATCTGGATATTTCTTTTTGTTGGAAAAGACGTCTTTTTTATGTATCTGAACACAAGTGTCTCGAGAGCATATTTAATGAATGATATGTGGGTATAACTTTATAGTTCACTGTCTTCCTCTCGTTGATTTTCCAAACCATAACAATCTCAACCTAAATTGCTTTGTTCACGCATTGATTTGGCTGTGGATCATTTTTTGGTGCAACATTGGTAAGTCTTGAGTGCTGGGATAATTGCATGGATGCAAACTCAAGTGCTGAGACCAGTCACTTGGCAAAAGACTGAAGAATAGAATTGTCTCCAAGTTTCTTTCTCTAAGATCCCACATATTACCAGATCTAGGAAATCCCCTTGTAACATTTATTTATCCATGGTATTTTTGCCCTTTACAGCACAATCTTTGTTGTATTTACTAACCAGAATTTTCTTCTGACCTTTGAGATGCATTTTATTTCCATGTTATTGCACCTGTTGTCTTGTACGAACTAAATTATCAATTTCTCCACTGGCTTGAACGATAATCATTTCAAATGTGTTGTTACAGGTTGCTAGCGTAACATTTGACTTGCTGTTGCTTCTAGTGCTAGGATCATATTTGATTATACTTTTCACTTTCCTTGTCATCACAACAAGGGTACTCTCTCTTCTCTTTATATCAAGCTTTCATTGTTTTTTGAATGTACATTTTTTTTCGCTGCACTGCCTTCACAACCATATGCGAGTGAACTGAACTACAAGGCTGAATTTCCAATGATGCTGTTAACAGGGTCTTGATGATCTTATAAGTTTATTCCGACGGCCTCCGTCTCGTAAGGTGAAAACAGCATGACAACAAATGATGAAATTCTCTTAGGATCTGTGCACCAAAGCTGTCAATCTTTGTTGTTGAAGAGCATCACATGTAGCGTAGAATGTAATCTCTGCCACGGAGGAGTTTGCTGGTTGCTACTAGCAGCTTGTTATTGTTTTGTTTTTTTATTGTTTAGTTCAGAATCACGAGGGATCAGTTTAATTCTGGTCCTAGCAGGATTTTTTTTTTTTTTAATTTATCATGCTGAATGAGTTGAGATTTGTTAACGTAGGATGAAGACTTTTTTGGGCAAAGGATGTTTCAAACAAGATACAATAGCCAGCAATTTTTGTAGAGGAGCCATGATTTCGTGGTGGCCTTTTTCTGTGAGGTTTTCGTGCAGTTTCCTATGGAAATTAAATTTCTCAATTTCACGACCTTAAATGTTTGTCTCAGTAAATAAATGCAACTGCTGGCATTGATCTTTATGTGTGTCCCATCATCGCTATCCATTCAAGTTAACTTTTTTTTATAGCACCCAATGCCAACAGATCAACCTCGCAACAATTGCAATCAGGCATTTTTTGATTTAAGAAAAAAAAAAGTTTGGGAATTAAAAAACAATAAAACCAAGGGCTGGAAACTAAAATTATAATTTTCTTTGATTTTGAGCGAGATCCACTTTTTGTCATCCTTGAAATTGTTAACCGAGGGATTTAACCTCAATTTACAAGCAATCCAGCGTCGAAAAAAAGTATCCGTCTTTGAACTGGCGCTCCTGCGGCGTTGCGCTGGTAAATTCAAAGCCTCACATAAATGGCTCGTCCATCTAGCAGCTGCGAGCATTCATTTGTTATTCTTGGTATGGCAGTTTAGAGAATGGAGACATAAGAAGAAATGCAATTACCTTCCCATTCATTCCCTCACAAGCCTTCTCGGCGGCGTCCTTCTTAGCAAAGGTTACAAACCCATAACCTTTAGGTCTCTTTCTGGCTTTGTCCATTACTATTTTAGCTGGGGGGGAGTAGAATGTTAACAATGATCAGGAAAGAAACGAGCCTTTTAAGGTTAAATACAGGATCAGGTTGCACCTTCAATGACCTCTCCAAATTCTGAAAATGCTTCAACTATTTTCTTCTCTGTACTGGAGAAAGATAAACCTGCAGCAAAGCTATTAGTTCAAGCAACAGAAATAGCACGCAAAGATGGCATAGGGCAAAGCTTCTATATTTTATTGAAGCCTGGCTATAGGAGGGTTGCTGTAGACAGGTAGATGGCCAGCATAAAACTAAACACATCCTTCTGCCACTTAAAGACACGGAATTGAAAGATGACCTCCTGTGACTGATCTCACTGGTTCGAAAACAAGGTTCCATTGAGTTGTGAGAGCACATACTCCGTAATTGCCCCAACCCAAATCCGAAAGTAGCTAAATTGGCTCATCATGGGTATAATAGAGTACACAAACATGCCCAGGGAAGTCAATACTTAGGTGGGCAAGCACCAAGGAATCCTTGAACATGCTAGCAAAGTAAAGCAAAGCTCAATCGCAGAATATCATGAACCTCGTATGTACAATTCAAGGATCTTTTTAACTGAACAGACAAATTTGAAGAAAAGTAATTCAACCTTAAGCAGAAACAAGAACAATTGTTTAGAACAAACGAACTTACTCTTTAAATTTGTTTGGAAACGAGACAAGGATTCTAAATTTGTACATTTAAGTTTTAAGTGAAGTATAAAACTTAGGGCTTGTAGATTGACTCAACTGCAAGATGAATCCTAGCTAGCTAGGCTAAGAAAGAAGTGGATAAACCAGGCAAATCCTTGAGTCATGTTGGACAAAAATGAGACCCGTGAACTGGGTTGTGCAGACTCTGCAGATGTGAAGTGAATGCAAGAACTTCCAAGTTGCGCTTCATCTTTGTTCTAAACTCGACTTGAATTACTTGGAATACATTCAAAAAGTGAATGCAAGAACTTCCAAGTTGCGCATCATCTTTGTTGCTAAACTCGACTTGAATTACTTGGTATATATGGGAAGCATATATTATTAAAATTTTGAAAGAAAAAAAATCCCTTCTTTTTTTCCTTTTCCAATTTTCTTCCATAAAACTGAAATATTAAAAATCCAGCTTCAATTAATCACAAATTTGGATAAAAAATTCTGGGTTTTCTTTAGTAAACTGAATGAACTTATTGATACCAAGAAATGAGTGCTAGCTTTCTGTTGGGTGTTATAAAATTTGATTGTTTCCAACAAGAACAGCAAACACTATAGCTAAAATTTTGAAAGAAGAGAGGAAGGGAGGGAGAATACCTTTGACAAAAACCTTAGCAGAGAATCCTTTGGAGAAGAACAGTAGGGGTTGAGGATGAAGTTGCGGTTGAGAGAAAATTTTGACAGAGCTTCGGGTAATTCCTGTTAAAGTCGCCATTTTTTTTTTCAGTAGGGAAGAGAAGCAGGGCACCTTAAGCAGGAAGCAGTTTTGCAGTGTAGTGAGTTCAGAGTTAAGCAATGTTGGGAAAACTTCAAATAAGTCCTCTAACTATATAGATACTTACATTTACGTTTTGGGATTTGAAAACATCCAAAACTTCTACAAAGGTGAAACAAATTTAAGTTTTTAAGAGAAATTTAGAGGTCTTTTAGCTTGATCTATGAACGAAATTACTTTTGATTTTGAGTTATGATCAAAATTTTATTTTTTATAATAATCTATTAAGTTAAGGACCACACTTCAAATTACTAACTAGTATTGAATGAGAATTTTAGGACATCTTTATTCTCTTTGGTAGCGTTTTCTTTAGGGTACATGACACTTGAAACATATGATAGAGCAATCAAACGTGTTTAGTTTGCAAAGATGGAGACAATTTTATTTGTCTCTGTGATAGAAATTGGAGAGAGTTTTTGTTCTTTTACATGGATACAGAGAAGAAAATATAAAATATCATAAATTTTTATTCCAGATTTTTTCTTTTCAATTCCATACCATTCATGAATTTATCATTCTTTTTAACTTAAAAATATAGTTGTAAAATCCAGTTCAGGAAGACCCAAATTATAAGTTGAGAGTGTAATTGAAAAAAGTAAATGAAAAGTTATTTTGATTAATTTATTTTTTAAAATTCAATAGGTTAAAAGTCAGGTTTGGACCATGTCAAGGCTATGTTGATCAAGATAATGTAGTCTGTAAAAGAGGATTAAAAGCAATTTCCTTGAATTAATTTATTTATAGTTCAAATAATATATAGGGTTTACAATATTGAATGGGAGCTCATAGTTTTTTCAGGAAGAATATGAACGACAAAAAGGACAAAGTTAAGAGAAGGATGCACAGCTCATTTTACCTAATTTTTTTTTATCCAGAAACATTGTTTGATTACATTTCAGAATAAAACTAGTTTGATCTTGAATTAAACTCCTAGCTGCCTCCTTATGAGGTTTACTCGGCACTTAGAGCACAACTCGAGGGATGAGGCTCTACCTCGACATTGAGCCATGGCCACAACTTGGCATGAGCTGCTTTGGAAGAAGCTTGAACAGTTTGTGAAGAGATTTTGATTGATTAGAAAGAAGAAAGAAGAATCTACTTTAACTGATATGCTTTTAAACATGACCATATATAATATAGAAATCACACTTAGAAAGGGGTAGATAATTAACTAAAGTTGCAGGTGCTCCAGTGATACTAATTGTTTAAAAATAAAATAAAAAAATCAACCATATTAAAATTAACTTTTAGGAAGGTTCATTTAATATTCAAAAACTATTTAGTAATAATAAGATAACTAGGGAATGCTGGGGTGCATCAAAAAAATTAGGGTAGAGCTGAATCTAAATTTTGACCATATAAATTTCATATAATAAGAGTAATTATAAGTGATGAGAGGAGGGCCCTAATTGGAAGAAAAAAACTAGCAACCTCTTGAGTTATCCTGCACTTGAAAGAAGAAGTAGAAAAAAGAAATATATTGATAATTTGATTCACCATTGCAGTAAATAGAAGAAAAAATAAAATTTGTTTTTTAATCTAGAAAAACATGAGAAATTAACCATCACATGTTCTCTAAAAAAAAACTTTTTATAGCAAATCATTTACTAAAAAAAAATAAACTTAACACAAAAGTAGAAAAAAATTAGTGGTAACGTGGCTCCTATCATCTACTATTATACTCACAATAATTGATCATGTTATTGTTATTCATAATAGAAATGAGTATTTATTTATTTATATAACATATCATATAGTGGGTTATAAATTAGAAAAATTTGCACCTACTCTTAATTTTTTGAGACATACAAAAAATAGTGATAAGTCTCGTCATTAATTTTTTAATAATTAATAAATATTAGAATTTAAAAAAGAAAATATAGATGCTTATCGTTCATTATTAATTTATTATTTATATATCTTTTTTATATCTTATTCAATTTTAATATTAAAAATTAAGATTAAACGTAAAAAGTAAAGTAAACCACAAAATAAAAAAGGAAAAAAAAACAAATATGAAGAATCCACTTCAGAGATATATTTGAATAACTTGAATTGAACTCACGCATGATGAATTCACATTTAGCTACATCTATTCTTAATACTCTATTTATAAATTATCAAGATTTGAATTTCTAACATTTACCATGTAATTTGACCTTTTTTATTTTTTATAAGTCTTATAAAAAAATATAAAAGTATAAAAAAAATTATTTCAGGAGTAATGCAATGCCAACCCTATTGATAGAATGGCGATTGCTCCCTTTTATATATATATATATATATAAAAGGGAGCACACACTAAAACAAAAACGTTATCCATTTACAGGAGTCTTGGTTAAAGACGTGCCAACTTTTCCTACTCATTCTTAAGCGCTGGTTCTGCTCTCCCTAGATTATGTTCTTTTCTTTCCACACATCCGTTTTTAGACCTTAAAAAACAGAATTTCATGCCGAGATGACTTCGCTAGAATTTCTTCTAGTCTAGCAGGAAATCCAACTCACAGTCGTGAGAACTGACGGGGCAAGGCTGCCGACCGCTTATTCCTTCTCGAAAGCTGCCCGCGAATACCCTTCTTCCCCGGCTGACAGCAGTGAGGTCGAATCCTTTAAGCCAAAGGAAATCCCAATATCAAATCGGAAAAAGTCCCGGGAGAGAATGAGGAAAAGGTGGGGTCTTCGACTGGGGTGAAGTTAGGCGGACATGCATCTAAGGGGAAAGTCCGGGATACAATAGGAAGCCTAGCCATGATTAGCCTTCTGGGTCCCCGTGGCTCATCGAGAATAGCAATAGAAAGCCCTAGAGTAACCATTCTATCGAAGCCTTGGTAGCATCAACAAACCAAAATTTTCTTCATAAAGACAGATGTTCACATTAGTATGCTTTAACATCCACAAGATCTGCATCAAATAAAATTGACACCTTCCTTTTATTGGCAATTATTGTCTTCATGTTTTCTTAATTAAAAATAAAATAAAAAATCCTTTACCATTGATCAATTCCAACTCCAAGGAAGCCACGAGAGGCATTGATGACTTTCCAACTTAGCAACTTATATTTGATACTATCAAGGATATTCATACGGGATCATATTTAATTTGAAAAAATATATATGATGAGCTTTTGAAAAACAAATAAACAGAATATCTATCATAGAAAAGTACTCGTAGAAGCCAAAGACGTAGAGAGCTAAATGCTATACAGATGGGATCCTCCAGTTCACATTTTTAGAAGGGAGAAAGAACTACACAACATATAGAACAAAAAACTCAGATGAGTAGATCGTCGTGTCCCATTCCAATCGGTCAAGAATGGTGTGCACTCAGAAGGTCACGATAAACCATGTCTCGGTCAAGAATGGTGTGCACTCAGAAGGGTACGATAAACCATGTCAATGAATTGATCATCCTAGTGCACAAGGGGAGAGCTTGTTAGACATGCATAGCAAAATGCAGCAGTAAGAAAACAATAATGAATTGAGGGGGTGAGGGAGAATTGAAACTATCAGGAACCAATAAATACATGAGAAACTGTTAACTTGAAACTATCAGAACTAATAAATACACGAGAAACTATTAACCCACAAAAGATTGTGATGATGAACTTCATTTTTTTATCCTACGTGATTATGTTGCATACTAAAACCAATCACATGTAAACATTAGATCATTGGGGCAGCATTAGTTCTAATAAGCATCAATCTTGGAAGACAGGAAGAGATAAATCAATAATTAACATGAAAAAGAAGCGTTGACAATGGACTTGCAAATAGATGAATGTGAAACAAAAAATGATCTCCAAAACCAAACAGGTATTCAAGGCTATCACTTTGATTTCGTTTGCTATGAATACGACTAGCTCAGAAGAAAAGATCTGACAATTTTAGTACATGGGACATCTAACAATTGCATGATACAGAAAATTCCTTCCAATAACATCGGGATTACTGTAATTTGCAAGAAAATGAACTTGTTAAGGAGTTAGGCTGGATTTCTAGTTTTTTTTTCCTTGTTTTGGACTTAGATATTCGGAGTCCTGTCCTTTAGGTTAGGATTAGAAGTTCTCTTTACATTTCCTTACAGGATTTGGACTTCACTTTAAGAATATGATTTCTTAAGTCTCTAGATCCAAGTACTTTAATGGCAAGCTAGATAGATTACATAAGGAAAAATCCAAGTAAATTTTCTTTAGTGGAAAGAACGCCATTGAAGTTTTTATTCTACAGGTGGATCCATTGAAGGAGCACCAAGATTCAGGTCTGTCCCATACCCCAACAGCCCCATTCTATCCTAAATAAGCCCCTTTAAATCCCAATTTAAACTCTAGTCTTTCTTGGTGCAAATCCATAGACTCCTCAACTATTAGTCCACCCATATAGATATGCTAGGAGCACTAACACTTTAACTTAATTTTTAGTAAAATCACACTTATTATAGAATGGATTCCAAGAGCCAACAGGTTTCCATTATCAAATTAATTAGACAAATCTTACCACAAATTGGCACATCAGTTGAATAAAATAAAATTCGGGAACCCCTAACAGTAATTTTATTTTTTTTCACAAATAGTCCCAGCAGTATTCATCATAGAACGACTCCATAACCCTTAATTCTCAAATTCAAGGCTATCCTACATCATTGCAGTCACATCTATAGCTTCTCAAATACATGATCAACATGCTTTTAATGGGCTGTTATCATATTCAAGCCCATCTTATACAAGAAATTCCAATTTTGACACTAGTTACCGAAAAATTAACCTCATCCAATATAAGCATTTTAGATTTTTTAACTTCAGCTTCATACATTCTGTCATCATCATACAAGAGAAACTAACCTGAACAAGTACCAGTAGTGCTTCTCGGACTTTGTCTTTGCTGATAACTGGCCCATGATTTGGACTGGGAACAGAAGCAGGAGTGAGAGATGGTGGAGGAGTGGGAGGTGGAAAGGGTTGAAGCAATGGAGCACCATATGGGCGGTGTAGAGTTGTAGGAGGATTAAGTGGAGGAGCAGTAGGAATAGAAGAAGAGACAGGTGGCATCATCCGAGTAGAAGAAGATGGAGGAGCAAAAAAAGAAGGCTTTACAAGGTTAGCTGTCCGGTTGCTGCTGCTGCTGACATCAGAGACATCAAGCTGTGGCATTAAAGGAATTGATGCTGATAAAGGAGGAGATGGTATTTGCAAGGTGGGCATGGTGCTGGAGGCAACACTAGTCAGTTGGGAGTGTAAGGGAATTGGAATTGAGGACTGGCAAGACTGTCCAGCAACTGCAGCAGCTGATGCATTCCCAATTGTCATAGCTGTCTGCAAACATTCAAGCAGAACACTCATGCTGGTCACGCACAATGAGTTTACAAAAAGTGAACTATAAAAGTAAAAAGCGCTCACAAGTTTGTTGTTGATAAATTTTAAGAGAATCCAAATAACAATTTGTCTATTCTTGGAGAAGGGAAAAATTGAGGATAAGACTAGTTCATAGACATGAACAACTGCAGTACTTACACTAAAAAAGTTCACAAAGGCAGGATCATCAGGCACATCGGAAACAACCGAAGCACTTGCAGATGATGGCTCCAGAGGACCATCCATAACTGCCATAGTTGGTACAGCTTCTAGTTCCTCAAACTCACTGCAATTAAACACATCATATGAATTAAAATACGTAACAAATCCATGCAAAACATGGTAGTTTCTAATCCATAATAAATCGCATAATTGATTATCAAGTCTCTTAATCAAGTGCTAAGATCTTTAAAAAAGAAAAGCGAGAATATCACATGAGCAGTTCCCAAGGTTTTAGTGAAATAATTATCAAATCTTTGAGCCCTGAGGTTTCAAGTAAGGTGGCATCTGAACAGGGGTTACAAAATAATGATTAAATAATAAGGGGTTAGGTGCTAAGATTCTAAAGAAGTGGTTGAAGGGTTAAGTGTTAAATACTTTAGCTGGATGTTACAGTCAAATAGAACATTAAATTAAATTTGAATAAAAATGAGCTATTACCTTTTTGTTGATGATAGTGATACCTTTGGCTTCTGAGGCACCTTGGAGTATGCATTAAGTATCCTGGTCAAGGAAAAAAACACATAAGATGGGATAATTGTTCTTTTAAGGTTAATATTAAATAATTCTAAATGGACATACATAGAGCATCTCATATAGGAATTAAGCTAGAACATTTAACAACCACACCTAAAGGCATTTGACGGGCTTTTCCTCCATATCTGACTTATATAACAAAAAAGTCACAAGCTCAGTAATAATGACTAGGATAAGAAAGAACCATATCACGCAAGAGTTTACAATATATTATATAAGATCTGGTTATTTACTTGAAAGGGTTATACAATATATTATATAAGATCTGGTTATTCCTCCCAGTTATAATATTGCAGGCAGCTTGATTTCCTGTTGTCGGAGGCTTACATCTTTCCAAATCCACATAACACATTTTAGAAAACAAATGCAATATGCTAACAAGACTGATTAGATCTTTACAGATACATCAGAAAAATTGCAGTCATTTTAAAACGGAATAGAGTTTCAGGGTCCAGATAAATGCTGCACCTTCATACCAGAGGAAAAGTGCAATGAATGACCAACAATCTAGTAGCAGTACCCATTCATATACCCATTTCCCAACAAAATGGCAAGCCAAGATATCAAGGGATAACAGCTACTGCACATCCTTCATGTCAAAATGCAGCTAAGCTAACCATCAAAATGGAATTATTCCAGCCAGGGGGATAGTTCGATGCATAACTTTTGACAATACGGACCAGTCATGTAAAGTCACTTTGTTATTCTTGGTATGCACCAAATGACAATTATCCCAGGTTCTATTCTACTTGGATACAACAAGAGATGACTCCAGACCTCAAGAGCTTTACCGTCCTTGATAATAATAATAATAAAAAAAAAAAAGGCCTCCATGCTTCCTAATATGAAGAAATGAACAGACATTTTACAAGATTCTAAGTACCGCACTCAAAAACCCCAAACCAAACTACCAAGAAAGGAAGAACTTCCAATCTGTCTTAAAATCAGATTCCCTAAAAAGAGATCTTTCCAACACTAAAAACTATTACAAACAATGACAAAACAGAAACTCATAAATTCCTTAACTAAACAAACACTAAAAATACAACAACATTTACCTGCTAAAAAGATTAGCAACCTCTTCACACTCGCGTGCATTATAAAACCAAATACCATTCACTTCTTGAGCTGCATTTCGATACAGAAGATACGGAACCTGAACCTCGTACTCAAAATCTCCCAAAAGATTTTCTACCAAATTATCTGAATCATTACACCAAAATAATTAACAACCCTTCCTTCATTACACCAGCATAATTAGAAACTTTCCTTGATAAAACCATTAACTAAACAACAACTCATAACCCTAACCTGTATTCCGGCGATTCATCACAATAAACTGAAACCTAGGTTGCATATTCCTGCTTCAATCGTTACCACACAAAAAAAAAAAAAGAGCTTAATTTTCTCTCTTAAAACACACAAAAAAAATTAAACAAAAAAATACTAAAAAAAAAACCTTTTAACTACAAAGAGAGATCCTTCGACATCTTTCCGACTCTGTGAAAATAAAAAAAAGACCAAAAAATCAGAAAAAAAGAGAAAAATAAAAAAAAGAAGGAAGAGGCTGGTTGTTAACTCACCCATTGGGTAAGGTCGATATTGAACTGGTAGAGAGTGACATGAGCAGCAGTGATGAGAATTTCTTCAACTAGAGGATCGATTCGTTGAAGAACTGTTAAATTAAGGAGCTTTGTGCTCTGTTGATCAATGTTCGGCATCAATTTCCCATTCTGTGGCATTCTCGTCGCCGTTTTTGTCGAATTGGAGTAATTCACAAACCCTAGAATTTGGATTATAGATAAATAATAAATAAGGGAAATAATGATGGGAGGTAAGAAGAGGGTTTGGTGGTGACTGTTTTCTGTTAAGAGTTCGATTTTTGTGTACGTGGAACATTAACCACTTGTTGCTTGCCTACCAAGGATTTTATTAAATGACGGGATTAGCCCTACTTCTACCACTTCCATTTCATCACTTCCCCCAAATTAATCTTGACATTTTCGGGATTTTGTGATGACTTTTTTAATGCTTTCAACAAAATCAATTTAGTTTTTAACAATGTTGTGGTAATAATTAAGGTGAGGGTGTGTTTTTATGATCATTTAAAAATAATATAAAAATATATTTTTAAAAAAAATTAGGTTTGATTGACTTGTAAATTAATTAAAAAATATATTTATTTTTAATTTTAATTAATTTATAAACTGGTTTGTTTGACAGTACCAAAATTTGTTTCGATTTTTATTTATTAAATTCAAATATTTGGGTGAAATATCTAAATAAAATCTATTTTTAAGAAAAAAAATGAAGAAAGTAAAATTGATTTTTGTTGACAAATAATATTTAACAAACAATATTTTCTAGAACAACTCTATATTAACTCAATCTTATTTGAATGGATAATAAATTTTTTAAACCCAATTAGGATAAGATTAAATGTTAAAAAAGAAGTTTTTTGGATATGAATATCAACCCAAAACCCAATCCAAAATAAATAAATAAATAAATAAATAGTTATGTAGTAAATAATTCTAAATTATAGCAATCAAATTTGAATTAGATTCAAGTTTAAGTTTCAAGTTTTAATTATGTATAACTTCATAGATACCTCAAATCCAATAAGATGAAATTCAAGTATAAAAAATCAATTACTATTCATATTCAAATTCAAATTCAGGATGGGTTTAAAATAATTATTTTAACTTTAAATTAGAATATAAATAATACAAAACCCGATTTATTGATAACCTTCCACCACCACCACGACAATGAACACGAGTTTTAAGCATGCCATCTACTTCCCCTGTTTAAAACGGATCACGCCGGCATTAGTGAATTCTGACCAACATTTAGCTCCCTAAATCCAATCTTAAACAGAGGATTACAGGAATTAGTGAATTCGCTTTACATGGCTACATTTTGACAGCCATACCAGCCAAGAGTTCATGCATGCCACAACATTATAGCATTTCAATGCCTGGTCTGAATGATAGCATGCTACACATCATAGTTTGGAAAGGACATTGTAACGGTTAACCACTATATCCATTTTATCATTGATCAAGCTTGAAAACCAGATTCTAGAGTTCTGGAAGTTTTGTGTTTCAACTGGACCAGTTTTTTTTTTCCCTTAATCCAAGTACAACGCACAGCATTGAGAGGTCAAAGTCTATCGAGACGGGAAAATTCCATATCTCATTTACATTTTATTCGGTTGCCTTGCCTTTCCGTCTGCTGCTGCTGCCAGTTTCCAAGAGGTAACAAACCATTGAATCCACATCATCACCAAATATGCTGTAGGCCTCAATTGCTTGCAGGTAACTGAATCCCATTGACAGCACCATCTGCATACTACTGCTAAGAACAGCATCCTGTAAGCCATGTTCTCTGACACCATCTGCCTTAGACGTCTCACTAGCTGATGATCCTGCTTATCCAAGCTCATATCATTGTCAGCAACACAGCAATACAAGGATAGTTCAATCCTTAAAGAAGGTAAGAAAAAAAAGTGAAAGTCTCTACACTTCTCGTGGATCAACGAGCATAGCAACGAGGAGAATATAATGATGACAATAACAACCAGATGTGCACCCTATGTTGGTCCACGCAGTTTCATAAGTACACAAATCATTCACATGTTTTAACCGAGTCCCATACCATGTGTAAGATCTGACTACTTACTAGCACTAGAAGATGATGGTTCTGCACCAACAGTAGAGGATTCTTTACGACCAAGTTGTGGTTTGAACTTGTTGTCAGCAAGATACTCAGCTCTAGAAGCTTCCATCACCATGCGCTCAATCTCCTTCTCAGTAAGTTCAAGATCAGAGTAAAACCGCCCCTCAGCAAGAAGTGCCTGTGTAGAGTTTAGTTAATAACCTATTAAGCCAAAGATTAACATAAAACATACTGCAGAACTATGTTAAAGATACTTGCATTATCAATCTGCTGTTCTTGTTGAGCTTTAATAGCAGCTTTGACCTGATCTCTGTCCACACTTGCCTGCAAGCATGATTGTTGCCAGTGTCAGCAAATTCAACCCCTTCGGCTACATTAGCCTGTTATCAAATAAAAAGATGAAGCACAATCCTACAACTAATAAGTCCAGTTGCACTTTTAAATTATCCGGTAAAAGGCATGTTCATATTGCAGCTTTAAAAGCAAGTTCATAGTTAATAATCATCAACCCATTACCTCCACAACAAGAAAATTGAAGGTAAAAGTAGCGTATAGAGAAAGTTCCCATAAACTAGCCACCTAACTGCCCCTATTTTTTCATCCGCATGGACCTTGCCAACACTTTACCATCCCTTACCTTAATTTCACATATCTTAAACATTTGATTTGCAGGCAGGATAATGGCATATTCAACAAATCGTGAATTGGTGAGGAAAGGCTAGTATGGTTATTTGAGTCATGCCACAAATCCACTGAATAGGAATTAGCATTAAACAAAGACAAAAGGGTACCAAAGTCACAGAAACGCACCCCTTGAAGACAGCTGAAACCAAGTCCGGCACCAATTGTTGAACGACGAGGGTTGACAAGAGAGTTGTAATGATTACCATGATGATAACTTAGATGTATGGGCGGTGTGTCAGTATTGTAGCTCCCATGAAATATGTTGATAGGTTCTACATCAATGATTTAGGTCAGGAAGAAGTAAATAGTGAATGGCTCTGCATAATTTAAACCATTATTACTTCATCTCAAGCAGATACCTGTGCTATAAGAGTAAATGTGGATTGGTCGATTGTACATTTCTGATAAAGCTTGAATCTCTACATTGTTTCCATAAACCTGACAATTGAGAGGAAGTGAATATTCACATCCATTCATTTACATTAGAAAATCCAGGGCATGAGCGATCCTTAAACATGCTGGACCAAATGTCTACTTCCTACCTACCATAACCCAAAAAAATTAACACAAAGAAAAGGGTGGCTGCAAACAATAGAAGCAGGGGTTGAAAGAAGTGATTGGATTAGGTATTTGTTCATGTTCACTCAATCAAGGACAGGAGAAAAGCCTCCTCCATGTCAAAAAATTTGCAGGCAGATCCTTATATTCAGGAGATGATATATGATATGAAAGAATGCCGGGTGCCATATGCCTTTTGTCTTACAAGATATTGAAGATGTGAAAAGTAAACTTTGATATGGTATTCATACCTTGTCTCTTCTCTTCCTCTTACAGTAAGATGTAAAACCTTCAGTTATGAATTGAGAAAAGTGATCCCTTTCCCTTTCCTGAGTAAACCAAGGACAAAAATACAGCATTATCATGGGTGCTCTTCACAATGTCTTCACTTTCCTATGAAACTCGACACCATCTATCAAACTGTCCAGATATTTATCTCTATGGAATATATTGCAGACATAAAATAAACATTATATTGTCTTCCTCAGTTTCTGTTTTTTTTTTTTTTATTCCCTTTTCTCTCAAATTGTCTGGGAATTCATCCCGGTGAAACTATTTATCACAAAAAATGAAACGGCATAGCTACAATCATGAATCAAACTCTATTTCATCACCATCAATTAAATACACCTCATAAAACTAAAATATAAAATGATTAATGAACAAGACTAGTGGCTAGTAACATGGAGTGTATTTTTACAAAAGAACTCGTGACACTGCTTAACTGGATGCACAATTTATTCGAGTAGATGTCAAGCCACAACAAAATGACCATGAACTTGAACAATGCACAATCAGAAAAATTAAAATAAATAATAAAATTACCATATAGTCCATGCACATTTGTCGGGCTGAATCATACATTTCAGAATCCCCATAAACCTGATCAGCCACAGCACGAAAGAGACAATTCCCATCCTCCAACATTTTTTTGACTTCTAATCCTTTGGACCTTCTGATGTCAATCTCAAACTGCCGTTCTCTTTCCTGCAACAGATACAAAAGGCCAATTTTAGAGAAAAAAATGCAATTGAATCATTGAGATGCTAAATCATATCATTGGGTCAGGATTGCAATTATCAGGAAAATGAATGAAAAGGCAACACTACAAGATCTGTAGTGCTAAGCATTAAAAAAAAAAGAGAGAGAACCACAGATTAGCGACAGCAAATGCCTTCCTAAATACAGAGAAGTCCATCCGCCCAAGGGAAACAAAAGGCAAATCAAACTAAGCCAGTGAACATTAATCAAGTAGAGATCATACCACAACTAAAAGTCTAACTACACCAAACAAAATTTAAAATGGCAGCAGAGCATGTGAAGTCATATGATACAACCGCACACAGCTACATCCAGAGTTACATGCTTGTGGACTTAGTTTTAGGCTAGACAAGACTTATTACATAAATTGCAATGGTCAATCCATATCCCACCATATATATTTAGCACTAGAAACTTACGTAATCACCATAGGTGGAAACAAAGCAAGGATTCTGCTCATCACCACTATTGTACCCCTCATTTTCACCATGAGACCCAGGAGAGGATGGCCGTGATCCAGTTGGTGAAGACCTTGTTGAAACAACAGGCCAAGCAACAGCTCTCCTAGATGATCCAATTCGCACAGAATTTGAAGCTCCTGGCATAAATCTTCTTGAATTCAAGTTTGTTAGGGCAGGTTTGGGAGGTGGCACAGGTGGAGGTGGTGGTTGTGGGCTTCCACTACCAACCTCAGGATAACCAGCACTTGAACCTTCACTCTCCACCAGAGATCTCTCCAAAATCAATCCACTCAATCCTTTAACCAAATCCCCTGAGCCCACCCCTTCATCATTACCTACTTTCTCGTTATCAACAATGTCGTCATTCAAACTCTCAATTTGGTCATCGTTTATACTAACTGTCAAAAGTTCATCACTTTTTACCACTTTATTATCATTACTACCACTGTTCTCCAATACTTCATCAACCACTACCTGCTCCTGCACCTCCTCGCCAATTTCTTCATCTCTCACAGTTGACGCAGACTGGGGGGTGCTAGTACCCTGTGCATCTGGCCAAGTAGCCGAAGAAGAAGACCCTGCCCGGCTCTGGTTTGAAGAAGAACCACTGCCTCGCTGAACTAGAATCCGAGTCATCTTGCTTCAATATTTATTGTCCTCAAGTATATAACCCCGAGAACCAATTCTTCTTCCCAGACTTAAAGACTCATAGGTTTGTCACGCGTTCTTGCCTTAGGCGCAGTAATGCCAATTCCGTGGCTGAAGGAATTCTTCCAGCCCAGTGCGTTCAGCTCCTTGTTGTCGCAGCGAAAAGATTTCTGCATTCCCCTAACAATTCTCATGAGACCAAGACCTCCAACTTTTAAACAATAATAACCTTCCCTAAGTAGTCGAATTTACCCGGAAAAAGATATCCAAAGATTTACCTTCAAAAGCCCAAGCTGCAATTACCACACAAAAATCAAACAAATAAAAATCACAGCTTTCTTTAAAACACTTCCAAGTTCCTGAGGTTTTTTAAGTCTAAACCCTTTAGCCCTTTTGCAATTTCCAAGAAAAGGTGGGAGATTTTAAGTGAATTGTGCATCAAATCCTAACTTAAAAATCTAAGCACGTTATCATTATCATCCTTCTCAAAGATTGCTTCTTTACAAGATATCAATAGCAAACCCTTCAGACAATAGGTCAAATGCTACAAAAAGAAGACCAATCCGAGCAGAATTACAAAATCCAAAGCTAAAACCCTTCTTATGAACCCAAAGACACTTCCTTTAATTCACATTAACTACACTAATTGACTTAAATTATGCAATCAGAACCAAAGACCACATATTTCCCGTCCTTTACTTTCATTTCCCAGAAACCAGGCAAAGAACGCATAATCAAATAAAATAAACACCATCAAAGATCAAGAAAATCAATAAGAGAAAACCCTATCGTTGACTCGGGAAGAAGACTCACCTGACAGAGAGAGAGAGAGAAAGAAAGAAGACTAACAGATTGTGAAAGAGAAAATCGTTGATCTGTAAAAGAAAAGGAGAGAGAGCGAGAGACAGATTTGTTATTAGGGTTTTATTTGTATTTATTTTAAAGAACAAAGCGATAATAAAGCAAATATCTTAGTGGAGAAGGAAGAGAAGAAAAAGGGGGGGGGTTGTCGGCGATGATTATTACACGTGGCGTTGTTTTACACGTTCGTTTCTCACTTGCGACGGTGAAAGTGAAATTATAAGGAGCACATTTCTAATAAATTTATAGAATTCTGTTAACCCGTTCCAAGATTTTTTTTTTTTAATTTGAGATGTTCTGATTAGTTTAAATATTTTATAATTAATTTTTGAATTCATTAATTATTATACAAGTCTTATAAATAAGTAAAATACAGTAAAGATGACAGATCTATACTTTAAAATTTAAACCTAGAATGCATAAATAAAAAAACTTTATTAAGATTGCTGGGCTAGAAGTTTTGGTGTCCATTCCAAGATTTTGTAGTAGTTTTTCATGGTTAAAAATATTTTTAATTTAAATATTATAAATTTATTTGTTGTTATTATATTATAAAATAAATAACATTTTTTTATAAAAAAAAATTATTATTATTAAATTATTTATAATGCTATCACGTATAAAATATATTATAAATTATTTATAAAATATATTCAATAAAAATTATAATTTTTTTACTTTTTAAATGCATAATAATATTAAATAAAATATCATTAAATAAAATTGAAATTGGTTATATTCACTGTTAACTTAAAAATTCAAATTCATGTACCATAAAAAAATTTATATATTTATTTAATAACTGAAGACAATAAAAATTTCTAGCTATGTCCTTGGTTATAAACTCAGATACATCTGATAAGTTCGCTCAAAAGTTTGTTTGAGTTAGATTTAAGAAAGTAAAAATTAATTTAAAATGATTCAATTGACGTAACATTAACTATTAATTTTAGAGTAAGGTTAAAACAATTTTGAACAGATATAGCAGGATAATATTGAAAATTTAAAAATGTTTATTAAGCGAAATCGTATTATTATTGAAGGGATTGCAAAAAAAAAAAGACTCCATCAACTAAACATATAAAAAGAAAAATCACTTTTCAGAAAATGATCTATCATATATCCACAACAAATCATACACACAACTGCCTGCATATTAGAGATGCAAGGCATCCATGCCAACCCCCAACGGACAGGAGAAATGAAATTACATTACATCCTTCCTCTTGTCTTCTTTCTTTCTGAAGCACTGTAAAAACAGAAAATTAAGACCCTTAATATATACAACAATGCCAACCAAGTCCCTTATGATCGATGATTACTTCATTTTTCGAAGAGCAAAAGCAGACAACACAACCAGACAAAGGAGCAAGGCTGATACTACGAAGGAAGCCACCACAGCACTGCTAACCTGCTGGCAGAAATTATTAAATTGGAGACAAAAAGCATTCCAATTCGAGCTTGAATTCCCATTATGAGCTAAGTACACAATGGCAGCAGAAGCAGAAGCAGCTGATGTTGTTAGTCCCATCATCACCTGCATGCATGCATTATTTCAAACAATATTGTTCTTAGCACGTAGAATATTAAAGCTTGCAAGAGGTTCTGATATTAGTAATAGTGGCTTAATGAACTCACGGAATCGAGGATGATAAGGAGGAGCCTTGGTCCTGCTGCACGAGGCCGAACGATGCAGACTATTGAGAAGGGCAAGGTAAGAACAAGGTATCCACTGGTTATGGCGTTAGCGATCAGGAAAAACCTGCAAATGGACATATTCCAGTCTAATTATTTGTGCTTATTATTGCAAATTAAAGTTAGCTTGTTCGTAATTCATTAGCACTTGATCGAAACTCTAAAGCAAGCACTTAGCGCTTTAGTTAGAAGTAAGAATATATAGTATGCATACGAGAAAGTTGGGAGATCATTATACTGAGCATGGAACTGAAGGAACTGGGTGAAAAAAGGAAGAGTCTCATCCGTTGTCGCCATAAGGCTAGTGGCAGCAAAACCAGCGACAATGGCAGACAGCCTGAGAACCAAGTCGACAATGGCTACGCCTTTTTTCCATCCTTTTCGCGGGCGCTGGGCAGCTTTTGCTGCGACCATTACAGGTGCAATAAAAGCACCATCAATGCCTTTTCCTTTAGTGTCTGCTTTTGGTTCTTGAATAGTGATTTTTGCTGCTTCGCCACTCTTGTCCGAGTCCATTGCAAAAGGATAGTGATCAGGAGAGGAGAGCTAATTAGTAATGGAAAGCCACTGAAGGATTTGATTTATATATATAGGGTTCATGGAGGGGAATAAAGTTAATGGGTTAGCTCTGTATCAGCAAATTAGGTGTCTGTACAACGTTAGCGATCGATCGAGGAGTGGTTACCACGATCTAGCCTGCTCCACTAAATATTAAAAAACAAAAACACGAATTGGACGAATTGAAGGCAATTAGGGATATAAAGATGGAGTCATCAATGTTTTCTAACTTACTATTTTCCATTAAATATGCACTTGTTGGTTATTTTATCGATTGTTAAGGGTGGATGTTGTCAGCATAGTTTTGAAATTCTATCCTCGTAAATAAAGATGGACCTAGCAAATCTGGAGATGAAACTGGACCATATTAAAAAAAGAAATTAAAAGAAGACTCCATGTGACCCGGTTAAACTAATAAGACAAGTTAAAAACTTGATTATAATTCATTAATTTTTTTTATTAAAATAATGTTATTTTGATTTTAAAAAATAAATTGATAATGATAACCCGATCAAAACCTGAAATCTAGATTTTGGATTGGATTAGATTGGCCGCTAAACCGGATTTAAAAGCTATGACTATCGACACTCCTGTTTGGATTAAGACTATCAACATGATTATTCTAATATGGGAATATTAATCATTAGTTGTAAGATCTGATTTAGAGATTGATTTAAAAAAAATATTTGAATCATTGGATAATCAAATTAGCTTAGGATAATGGGGTATTTATTTTTAATAAAATCTTTTTTTTGTATTGATTCTATTAGATTTGATATATTTGTATCGGATTTAACTAAGTAAATCAAGTAAGATTTATCAAGTAAATATTTTATATTTTTTAAATAAAAAAATCAATTTAAATTAAACTATATATAATTTTCCAGGTAAACTAAACATGCTAGCCAAATTTAAAATCCCTATGACTCAAAACCAATGGAACTTCCCATGAAAAAAAGAAAAGAAAAATCATTGTTTTATTCCAAAGCCGAAAGATTTTCCTGTCTTTAGAAAGACTTTGCTCCTGTCCTTTTGGCTCTCCCGTCCACCACTCTTATCCCCTCCGAAAAATAGAAGAAGACCGGAGGCATTTTCAAACAAAACTGGTTCCAGCAGTTCATGGTGGCTTAATCTATTTTCCCGGTCAACCAAGTTGTCAGGGGGCTGAAAATTGTTTTTCCGACCAACATTTGTTTCCCTTGAGTTAAGTCTTGAGAGGTTAGGTCCGAACCAGATGCCTTTGAACCCTAACAAAATTTAACATGCACAAACAATCATCATGGTTGCAATCCAAAGAGGGGGGTTGTTAACGTAAATTGAAACAAACCGATGAACAGGACTGAATTGAAAAAACATCTGGGCATCACATCCTGATGCAATTTCATTCTTGCTTTTCCCCTCGCAAACCAATCACTATTCAAGATACATGTCACAGAAAAACAAAAATTTGCTCAATACAGCTGAGAATTTATTCTCACAACATGAAACGAGTGCCAAATTGAAATCAATTGTGCTGCACAAAAGAGGAAAGGGACGATTTGCACTCTACCTATATTACAAGCCGCAATAGTTGAGTTCACCTTTATTTTTTACATGTATCATATCTCAAAACCCCCATAGGGAAAAATGAATTAACTTTAACATCTATCAATGCTTTGCAGCTGGATTCCTATACGTGCTATCAAACAAACCTAATTTCCTGACTTCCCTTTCCAAACGGAAATATGTTTCAAGAATTAGTTGACTATAAACAAGATTTATGGCCGCACTCTCAATCCTCTTTCTGCAAGCATGTCATGTACTCGACGAGCAACTTCAGCGGTGTCGTTTAGAGGCGGGTAGCTCCAGCTTTCTGAAATCTGAAAGAGACAGACGAACAGATTATTCACATAATCAAGTGAAGAAATTCATTGCACAAAGGGAATGATGATAATTTCCAGAAAGAAGAACGGAAAAACTATTAACCAGAAAAAGTTACCAGGACAGCCATTACAAAACCCATCAACTAAAGTGGATGAGAAACGAGCACTTTAATAGTTGCCTGATATTATATAACCATTCAAATTTAGCTTTAGTTATTTTGATTAATAACACAACCGTTATCAAGTAGATGTATTATCTTTTTCTCCATGAAGTATAATTTTGAAAACTTACCCTGGAGAGCAAGTAATAAATGAAGCTGCTTTTAAATAATTGAAAAACCAAAGTTTTCACCTAATATGGGACCGGGAGAGTACTTAAAGGACACCATACCAGGAAACTGTCCTTGTAATGAATCAAATGGGAGAAGACACTTGTCAAATAGGTAAAAGGGCTCATTGTATTTAGAGGTGTCAAACACGTCCAAATACAGTGGTAAAACAAAGTTAAGGTGCAGGACTCCACAAATAGTGGCATGAAAAGAATATAAATAAAAATTCTACTATTTACTTACATCCTCAGACCCCGTAAATGGTCGAACAACTCCTCTCTCTCTCAAAGATTTATGGAAGTCAGCCAACTTCCATGTGCAACGCTCAGATCCCATCACGTAAACAGGTTTCCTGCAAAAACAGTATGGAAATTTGAAAAAAGCATTTACAGAATAAAATAGGGCATCTCAGAGCTTTAATATGTTCTAAATCTTTCAAAGATGATAGAAATAATTGTTCATACATACCCAGTGCTGCAAGCCTCGCTTATCATACTGACTGAATCTGCTGTGACAACAAATGCATCTGCCCAAGCTAATTGCCCCGTATATGGATTTGGCTCTGAATGTTATAACATACAAAACTTGTAAGATTGCGACCTCTAATAATTTAACTAGTATAAAGTTTCCAAATCAATCAACAATACCTTCACCATCCCAGATGTAAACTTTTGGATTGTTTGCAAGTTCTTTGATTATGATGTTTGAAACCTGAAGGTAGAAGAATTACAAAAACATATATTGAGTAATGGGTGGCAAGTATTGAAAGAATAAACTATGAGAAACAAGTGGCTATACCTTCTTAGGTGTCCTATTTGAGAAAGATATCCTGACACTCCCACTGTTCACAAGCACGTTGGTCAAAAAGGCAGATAACTGCTGAGCAAGCTCCGTTCCATAACGACAGCGACCTAAAGAATTTTGGGCACCATATTATATAATCACATTTTAAATACCAGGTCCATGAGAAACAGCAAGAACCAAGTGAACAGAAAACTTCTGAATTAAAATAGTCATAAACTGAAACAAAGCAGAATGAAAAAATAACCAAACCTATTTTTCAACTTTTAATTCTTTATTTGGGATACAAATCCATTCAAGTATGACAGTGTTCTATTTTAAATTTTCAGTTATTGCTATGCTAACATGAAAGAGAATAAGAAAATTGCATTTTCTTCAAGAAATTAAATATAACTCGTTTTAATATGATATATAATAGAATCATACAATGAATTGCATATTTTCATTTGTAGTGCATGGCAAAGCCAAGTTTAGTTTTGGGTACTTGAATTATTTCGAAGAGTCCGTGCAAAGTAAAAACAACAACAATAGTCAACTTCGACTCTCATAACAATTTCATCATTTATTTCATCATTTAATTTCCACGATCAGCTTATGATCTAGTGCAAAAGGGTTCCTCTTTCCAGCAAACAATCAGGGTTTGACCATCCAACATGCAAGAAAAACCAGCACATGCAGTAGGTACTAAAAAGGCCATGCTCCTATGAGATTAAAATAACACAATAATGCACAGACCACTATATGAAGAAATGACAGTGGAAGTGAGACTGACAATTTGCAGCAAAACTTCAAAGCACAGAAAAGAACAGTGGATTATAAGTATAATGGCTCATTACATGTAGGCCCTCCAATGTTAACAACCGGCAAAGGCTTTGGCAAAGGTGCGAACTCATCGTGCCATGTACTAGATGCACTGTGCAATGCAGCAAAATCAATTTGATGTAGAGAAACACACTCTTATGCTACGACGTACGAGTTCACAGATTGAGTCAAATTTTTATCCTGGAAGGTTGTTATAATATTTAATTATAAATAAATTATATTTTATAAAATATTAATGGATATAATTTTAATAATAAATTTATTTTTATTTTCATATTAATTTTATATATTTTTAAATTTATTTTTTTAATATATAGTGCATTTGAATTAAAACTTTACTAATAACTTAAAAAATTTATTTATGTATATGAGTTAATAATTAATATTAAAAAAATTTATATATTTATTTAATTTCTTAAAAAAATAAAAATTTCTGGGCATGCACTTGATTATGAACTCGGATTCATCTCATAAGTAGCTAAAAAGTTTGTTTGAGTTAGATTTAAGAAAGTAAAAATTAATTTAAAATGATTCAATTGACGTAACATTAACTATTAATTTTAGAGTAAGGTTAAAACAATTTTGAACAGATATAGCAGGATAATATTGAAAATTTAAAAATGTTTATTAAGCGAAATCGTATTATTATTGAAGGGATTGCAAAAAAAAAAAGACTCCATCAACTAAACATATAAAAAGAAAAATCACTTTTCAGAAAATGATCTACCATATATCCACAACAAATCATACACACAATTACACACAACTGTCTGCATATTAGAGATGCAAGGCATCCATGCCAACCCCCAACGGACAGGAGAAATGAAATTACATTACATCCTTCCTCTTGTCTTCTTTCTTTCTGAAGCACTGTAAAAACAGAAAATTAAGACCCTTAATATATACAACAATGCCAACCAAGTCCCTTATGATCGATGATTACTTCATTTTTCGAAGAGCAAAAGCAGACAACACAACCAACAAAGGAGCAAGGCTGATACTACGAAGGAAGCCACCACAGCACTGCTAACCTGCTGGCAGAAATTATTAAATTGGAGACAAAAAGCATTCCAATTCGAGCTTGAATTCCCATTATGAGCTAAGTACACAATGGCAGCAGAAGCAGAAGCAGCTGATGTTGTTAGTCCCATCATCACCTGCATGCATGCATTATTTCAAACAATATTGTTCTTAGCACGTAGAATATTAAAGCTTGCAAGAGGTTCTGATATTAGTAATAGTGGCTTAATGAACTCACGGAATCGAGGATGATAAGGAGGAGCCTTGGTCCTGCTGCACGAGGCCGAACGATGCAGACTATTGAGAAGGGCAAGGTAAGAACAAGGTATCCACTGGTTATGGCGTTAGCGATCAGGAAAAACCTGCAAATGGACATATTCCAGTCTAATTATTTGTGCTTATTATTGCAAATTAAAGTTAGCTTGTTCGTAATTCATTAGCACTTGATCGAAACTCTAAAGCAAGCACTTAGCGCTTTAGTTAGAAGTAAGAATATATAGTATGCATACGAGAAAGTTGGGAGATCATTATACTGAGCATGGAACTGAAGGAACTGGGTGAAAAAAGGAAGAGTCTCATCCGTTGTCGCCATAAGGCTAGTGGCAGCAAAACCAGCGACAATGGCAGACAGCCTGAGAACCAAGTCGAAAATGGCTACGCCTTTTTCCCATCCTTTTCGCGGGCGCTGGGCAGCTTTTGCTGCGACCATTACAGGTGCAATAAAAGCACCATCAATGCCTTTTCCTTTAGTGTCTGCTTTTGGTTCTTGAATAGTGATTTTTGCTGCTTCGCCACTCTTGTCCGAGTCCATTGCAAAAGGATAGTGATCAGGAGAGGAGAGCTAATTAGTAATGGAAAGCCACTGAAGGATTTGATTTATATATATAGGGTTCATGGAGGGGAATAAAGTTAATGGGTTAGCTCTGTATCAGCAAATTAGGTGTCTGTACAACGTTAGCGATCGTTCGAGGAGTGGTTGCCACGATCTAGCCTGCTCCACTAAATATTAAAAAAAAAAAAAACACGAATTGGACGAATTGAAGGCAATTAGGGATATAAAGATGGAGTCATCAATGTTTTCTAACTTACTATTTTCCATTAAATATGCACTTGTTGGTTATTTTATCGATTGTTAAGGGTGAATGTTGTCAGCATGTTTTTGAAATTCCATCCTGGTGGATGGACTTGGCAAACCCTAAGCTGGAATCAAGCTACGTTAAAAAAAAAAAATAAGGGAAAGCCCGGTATAACCCGGTTAATTTAGCAAGATCAAGTTAAAAATTTGATTATAATTTATTGATTTTTTTATTAAAATAATATTATTTTAATTTTAAAAAATAAATTTACCATACCAACTTAATTAAAATCTGAAACTCGGATCTTAGATTGGGTCAACCACTAGACCGAATCTAAAAACTATGATTGTCAGTACTTCTAATTGGATTAAAGCTATCGACATGATTAATCTAATATGAAAATATTAATCATTAGTTGTAAGATCTAATTTAGTAATTGATTTAAAAAACATTTGAATCATTGAATAATCAAATTAGCTTAGGATAATCGAGTATTTATTTTTAATAAAATCTTATTTTTGTGTTGATTCTATTAGGTTTGATATGTTTATATCGGATTTAACTAAATAAATCAACTTATTAAAAACCCAAGTTGAATCAACTAAGATTTATTAAGTAAATATTTTATATTCTTTAAATAAAAATATCAATTTAAATTAAACTATATATCTTCAATTTTCCAGGTAAACTAAACATGCTAGCCAAATTTGATAGTCCACTGAAAAAAAAATCCCTATGACTCAAAACCAATGGAACTTCCCATGAAAAAAAGAAAAGAAAAATCATTGTTTTATTCCAAAGCCGAAAGATTTTCCTGTCTTTAGAAAGACTTTGCTCCTGTCCTTTTGGCTCTCCCGTCCACCACTCTTATCCCCTCCGAAAAATAGAAGAAGACCGGAGGCATTTTCAAACAAAACTGGTTCCAGCAGTTCATGGTGGCTTAATCTATTTTCCCGGTCAACCAAGTTGTCAGGGGGCTGAAAATTGTTTTTCCGACCAACATTTGTTTCCCTTGAGTTAAGTCTTGAGAGGTTAGGTCCGAACCAGATGCCTTTGAACCCTAACAAAATTTAACATGCACAACCAATCATCATGGTTGCAATCCAAAGAGGGGGGTTGTTAAGGTAAATTGAAACAAACCGATGAACAGGACTGAATTGAAAAAACATCTGGGCATCACATCCTGATGCAATTTCATTCTTGCTTTTCCCCTCGCAAACCAATCACTATTCAAGATACATGTCACAGAAAAACAAAAATTTGCTCAATACAGCTGAGAATTTATTCTCACAACATGAAACGAGTGCCAAATTGAAATCAATTGTGCTGCACAAAAGAGGAAAGGGACGATTTGCACTCTACCTATATTACAAGCCGCAATAGTTGAGTTCACCTTTATTTTTTACATGTATCATATCTCAAAACCCCCATAGGGAAAAATGAATTAACTTTAACATCTATCAATGCTTTGCAGCTGGATTCCTATACGTGCTATCAAACAAACCTAATTTCCTGACTTCCCTTTCCAAACGGAAATATGTTTCAAGAATTAGTTGACTATAAACAAGATTTATGGCCGCACTCTCAATCCTCTTTCTGCAAGCATGTCATGTACTCGACGAGCAACTTCAGCGGTGTCGTTTAGAGGCGGGTAGCTCCAGCTTTCTGAAATCTGAAAGAGACAGACGAACAGATTATTCACATAATCAAGTGAAGAAATTCATTGCACAAAGGGAATGATGATAATTTCCAGAAAGAAGAACGGAAAAACTATTAACCAGAAAAAGTTACCAGGACAGCCATTACAAAACCCATCAACTAAAGTGGATGAGAAACGAGCACTTTAATAGTTGCCTGATATTATATAACCATTCAAATTTAGCTTTAGTTATTTTGATTAATAACACAACCGTTATCAAGTAGATGTATTATCTTTTTCTCCATGAAGTATAATTTTGAAAACTTACCCTGGAGAGCAAGTAATAAATGAAGCTGCTTTTAAATAATTGAAAAACCAAAGTTTTCACCTAATATGGGACCGGGAGAGTACTTAAAGGACACCATACCAGGAAACTGTCCTTGTAATGAATCAAATGGGAGAAGACACTTGTCAAATAGGTAAAAGGGCTCATTGTATTTAGAGGTGTCAAACACGTCCAAATACAGTGGTAAAACAAAGTTAAGGTGCAGGACTCCACAAATAGTGGCATGAAAAGAATATAAATAAAAATTCTACTATTTACTTACATCCTCAGACCCCGTAAATGGTCGAACAACTCCTCTCTCTCTCAAAGATTTATGGAAGTCAGCCAACTTCCATGTGCAACGCTCAGATCCCATCACGTAAACAGGTTTCCTGCAAAAACAGTATGGAAATTTGAAAAAAGCATTTACAGAATAAAATAGGGCATCTCAGAGCTTTAATATGTTCTAAATCTTTCAAAGATGATAGAAATAATTGTTCATACATACCCAGTGCTGCAAGCCTCGCTTATCATACTGACTGAATCTGCTGTGACAACAAATGCATCTGCCCAAGCTAATTGCCCCGTATATGGATTTGGCTCTGAATGTTATAACATACAAAACTTGTAAGATTGCGACCTCTAATAATTTAACTAGTATAAAGTTTCCAAATCAATCAACAATACCTTCACCATCCCAGATGTAAACTTTTGGATTGTTTGCAAGTTCTTTGATTATGATGTTTGAAACCTGAAGGTAGAAGAATTACAAAAACATATATTGAGTAATGGGTGGCAAGTATTGAAAGAATAAACTATGAGAAACAAGTGGCTATACCTTCTTAGGTGTCCTATTTGAGAAAGATATCCTGACACTCCCACTGTTCACAAGCACGTTGGTCAAAAAGGCAGATAACTGCTGAGCAAGCTCCGTTCCATAACGACAGCGACCTAAAGAATTTTGGGCACCATATTATATAATCACATTTTAAATACCAGGTCCATGAGAAACAGCAAGAACCAAGTGAACAGAAAACTTCTGAATTAAAATAGTCATAAACTGAAACAAAGCAGAATGAAAAAATAACCAAACCTATTTTTCAACTTTTAATTCTTTATTTGGGATACAAATCCATTCAAGTATGACAGTGTTCTATTTTAAATTTTCAGTTATTGCTATGCTAACATGAAAGAGAATAAGAAAATTGCATTTTCTTCAAGAAATTAAATATAACTCGTTTTAATATGATATATAATAGAATCATACAATGAATTGCATATTTTCATTTGTAGTGCATGGCAAAGCCAAGTTTAGTTTTGGGTACTTGAATTATTTCGAAGAGTCCGTGCAAAGTAAAAACAACAACAATAGTCAACTTCGTCTCTCATAACAATTTCATCATTTAATTTCCACGATCAGCTTATGATTTAGTGCAAAAGGGTTCCTCTTTCCAGCAACCAATCAAGGTTGGAACCTCACAACCTCCCTCACCCAGGGTTTGACCATCCAACATGCAAGAAAAACCAGCACATGCAGTAGGTACTAAAAAGGCCATGCTCCTATGAGATTAAAATAACACAATAATGCACAGACCACTATATGAAGAAATGACAGTGGAAGTGAGACTGACAATTTGCAGCAAAACTTCAAAGCACAGAAAAGAACAGTGGATTATAAGTATAATGGCTCATTACATGTAGGCCCTCCAACGTTAA